AGAAAACTAATGATAAACCTTACAGAAAATTCCCAAGGGGTTCCCTTAGGCCAGGTGGTAGTTTACCTGTAATGTTTAGCAATCATATACGATGCAGTACTTCTTTTTTTGAGGCATGGTAATTAAGACCAAGTGAATTTATATTTATTTTGCTTGCAGAGCTTTCTTAATGTGAACTACCCTAGAAGTGGGCTTCAGATGGTTATTTCTTCTTAGACCTGACCTAGTTCTAATAATTTGCCATTCAAAAGATGCAGAACTTAGATCTTTGCAGGAAGTTGTTACAATTCACTGTGAACAGTGGCCTAAAAGGGTTGCTGTATGCAGTCAAATACATTGGCACAGTGGGGAAATGTGATCTTTTCTAAGGCTATTATTCTAATCATTTCATCTAGTCCCTTGTCCAAATATAATATGCACTGGCACAAAGTTAATTTAATTTTTTTAAATCCCTGCAACAGTACAAAAAAAAATAAATAAATAATATGACAAAGCAGGGTGTCAAACGTGCTTTTAGGAAAGTCCTTCATTGCCTTTTAATTGTACAGTGCAATTGTGTCAGTGGTCTAGATGACATTGCTCTGCTGCCTGTTTTGTAGCTGGAAGGCCAAATGCAGTAGCTGGCATTCAACTTTCAATATGTCTTATTACTGAGTAGTTTCACATGTACACATTTCAGTCATGAATAGCTGATTGTACCCTTCTGCACACGCTTGTTTCTTGGGTTTTTAAGGTTTCTGAGCCCTGATCTGCCAGCAAACTTCCTCCTGGCTCTGCATGAGTCCCCTGTACAGAGGAGCCTAATGCAGCAGAGAGGACTTCAGCTGAAAAGCTTGCCAGGGTGCCTTCTCAGGCTTGTATCCGCTACAGCACAACAGCCCCAGGACTTGCTAATGAAATTGCTGGGCAGGTTTTAAAAGTGGTGTCTAAATCTTAGAGGCCAACAGTGGCCTTGCCTTATGTCAGCGATCACACAAGAGAATTCAACTCTGCTGTTCTCCCCCTCCCTCCATTGTTCATGTGGAAAAGAACAAAGTATGGTTCTTTTTGCCACTGCAGAAAATCGCATTATACCTGAAGGCCTGAGATGAGAGAACCATAGGAGCAGACTGAATCACTTCTCTTTTTCCATCCTTAGCTCGTGACTAACGCTAAAACTGAGAACCTGATGCTGAAACACACATGTGCTGAGCACTTTCGTGGGAGTTAGGCACTAAAAGTCATCCAGGCCCCATGTACTTAACCAACATTTCGTCTTCAGGACCCCACGAAAATGTTAATTAAGCCTCACAACATTCCTGAGAGGTATCCCTACCCATTTTGTCCTGAAGGGAAAAGTGAGGGAGATAATTAGAGCCTTGTAATGAAGTAACGCCTGATGACCTGGAGCCCAATCTGCTATCTGGGTCAATGGACAGATTATGTCCTTGGACTGACTAATTGTAGGTGCCTAATTGTATTAACACACAAAAGCAGCAATTCATGGCAAAGAAATTACCACCCCCAGCAGTCCTTCCCTCTGGGTGAATTACGTCACCTCAGGGCTCTGATTCACGATCTCTGACAGATTTAGCTGTGGCAACTAAAGAAAGTATTGCCTCTACAGCTGCTTATGCTGTCACAGCTAAATCTGAACACCCCTCCTCAGAAATGAGACAGCAAATATTCTCCCTTATTAAGGATAAAATACAGCACCGCATGTTCTTATCTTGGAAAAACATTGTAAGCCCAGGACTGAAAATGGAGCCTATCTTACCTTCAGCATGTGCAAGAAGACAGAATGAGTCACTGCCTGTTCTGCCTCAGTTTCTCTATTTATATCTGCTATAAAGTTCTACCCCTGTTTCATACTCTTAAATGTTGTCATTGTCAACATTATGAAGAAATTGTTAGAATAGGACTCTAATGAGCAACTAAGAGAGCTAAGTGTTCAACTCCATCTCAGTCTGGTGGACTGAACACTAGCTGATCACACACAGCTGCTTTGAAATTCCAGCCTTGAAGTCAGTAACTTTTTTTGAAAAAAAGGAAGCATCACTGTCTTGCTTAAGACTTACTACTGCTCTAGCTGGTCTAAATGATTTCAACTGAAATAATTGGATTGCAACTTAGGGATTCTATCAGACCTGGCTTCTTTGGTGATATTTTTGCCAAAAAGAAAGCTAGTTTCTCAATGAAAAAGCTCAAATAGTTCCACAGCAAATGCACGAAGATGTAAATTTTCAGGAAAAGAGAATGCTCTGAAATTAAATTCTGCAGAAACGTGCATTTTGATTTTTTGAATTGGTGTGTAGTGTGTAGAAAGACTGCAATTGCCTGAAGTACTAAAATTCACCAAACAGTTCTCATCAACAACTAAACACATTCTCCTATATGGAAGAAAAATGTTCCATTATTATACACCTAATGTTGAGGGGAAAAAAAAAATCTTTTCAGCCTCAAGTGTTTAGGACTTAGCTTCCTAACTACATGTCCCCTCCCCTCTGCATTAATGCTGTCCCAGCAGCTGATGTGTATTTTACTGACTTTGAAACAATGTTTAAGGATGCTCCAAAGGAAAAAAAAAATCTCAAATGATACAAACTAGAAACTACAAAATTCCACATACTGGAATTCAGAGCAATTGGATTTTCATCAGGAATGCATGCTTTCCCTCCCTCTATTACTGGCAATCCTAAGTATTAAAAAAAAAAAAAAAAAAAAAAAAACTATGCGAAAATTTAGACGAGCACTGCATTCTGTAGTTCTGAGATTTAACAGAATAACACGATGAATTTCAGAAGCATCAGTATAAACATGAATGCAGATTGCTGGGGCTTGTATGCAGCTATATCCATCCTTCAAACTTTTTTTTTAACCTACCTTGTGGCTAATGACCTCAGGTGGGAATATGAGAGTACTGCATTTAAAAAGCTGGAAACTTACACACAGAAGTCAAATATAGGCTTTTCACACTTATATATGCTCTGAAGAGACAGACCAAAATCAGGAATTTAATCAGAACCCCTTCAATATATTTTCACTAGAGTTGGACTCGGCAAAACAATTGTTTTTTTTTATTTTTTATTTTCCATCACAGGAGTCTGAGAAAACTAAAAAACAGTATTGGACACTACTTTCTAAAACTCCGCAGAGACAGAGCATTTTGTGATTGACCTGTACTCTTAAAGAGAGGGCTCTGCTTAATTGTTCAGCTTGACACCACAGCCCTGAAGGAGATGACCGGAGACTGCTCCACATGCGCTGCTCTAACAGCATCTCTCATCCAAAGCGCTGGCGATCACACCTGCCTCAGGGGGCCCCAGAGCCTCTAAAGAACACCAGCTCCTACCTGCAGGCTCAAGGCCAGCATCTATTAACAACTGACTTCACCTGCTTTTCTTCTAATAAACTTTACAAAGCCAAGAAGCTGTGGTTTTCAGATTGCTATGAAAACAGCTGGCTTTTAGGCATTGGGAAATAACTCCCTGATTGAGAATCACCATTCAAGACAGCAAATTGATATTGTATTAAAAATAGTAATAAAAGCCACTTACATAATTTTGCATTTTCATACACTTAAAGAATGTCAATTTATTGAAAAAATAAGTCTACTTACATCCAGCAGACTAAGCCAATAATAATGATGTATTTCACAATGTATGAACTTTGCCATGTGCTGTAGAAGTATCAAAAAATCAATACAACTAAATTGACAAGTTTGTCAATGATTGAAATTAATTTCCTTTTTTCTGTTACTTCACTAAACTGAATTCCATGGTGTTATATTAATTAACATCCCACTCCGATGGTCTGTGTAGCTGGAAAAACAACAAGGTTATATCTGAGAGCATTCAGAGAAAGTGGTGTATTACAAGCAGACAAAGATAGCAGAAGGTATTCACATGAAGCAATAAATGATTTGCTAAGTTAATTGCAAAGACATTTTGAAATTATCAAGGATAAAATTTCCAAAGAACACCAGTCATGCAGGATCCTCTGTTCAATTCATAGGACCCAATGTTCTTGGAAAATGTGTACCTACAACTTTCCAGAAAATCTGTCTATCTGACAAAGAAGCAGGTCATAAGACCCAAGTAACTTCAGAAAGTAACCAGCACATTAACTAAAGTGAGTAGCTGCATCTCACCAAACTCTGAGGACAAATCAGGAACAAAACTTAAACAGTGTCACAGTGAAAAGGTCTTAATAGATTCTGAATATAAACCTGTTGAGATGCTCAATCTAACATCTTCTAACATCTTATCTTTCTAGCCTGATTTGAATAGTGAATTCCATTGCAAAGATTCGTTGGTTTTGGGTTTGGTTTGTTTTCCTATTTACATTCCAGACAACAAAAAGTATGATTTTTTTTCAGAGTAAATATTTTGCTCTTTGCAATTATGTTTCTGTAGCTGAAATCAAGCAGCTGGATCAGAGCGATCCTCTGGGACAGATGCTAAGGACCATGTTTTCCACCTTGGTCTTTTGGGCCATGCCCTTAATTGGAGCTTAGTGTCCCATTAATGATTGCGCCTCCTGGGATTTATATGACCATTTCAGAATTGCAGTTTCCGCCTAATGGACTGCTGCACAACAAAGAGTCCTTGTAGCTATATCCCAAAGGCCCCCCTATTAAATATACAGCAGTTCTCAATTAACCTGATGTTTAAAAAACACAATAGCTCTAAAGGCTATCTGCTTAGGAAAGTCCCTGGTCTAAACCGATATCATTTAATTGTCCCCTAATGCAATTCTGTCCATATGCAAAGACCAGCTTGCATGTGACACTAATAGTAGACTTCATGCTGTGACCAGGCTAACAGATTTCTGTACCCATAAGTATCAATTTCAAGGCATTAGAATACTGAAATTAACCTTGATTATATCTCACAGTTCACAAAATCTGCAATTTCAAAGAATAAGCAAGTAAGCACGAGTTCCTATGAAGTTTAAGCCACTCCAGGAGTAACACAGCAAAGCTCTTTCTGTGAGATCAGAAGGGTGGATATGAATATGATAAACTCACTAATTTCAGCAGCAGTAGTATGGAAGGACAGTGTTGATGTGTTTCCATGCTCAGGAGAGTGAATTCCACCACCTTCCTGAAACAGCTGTGACAAGCCAAATCTTAAAAAATTATTTAACCACAGAGATACACAGACAGCTATACTACAAAGTCAACTCGTCAATGCAAAATTAGGTTTCAAGTAAAGAAACTCATCTAAGCTGTTGTTTTTACAAGCTCCAATAAGAGATTTCCAGAATTTCCTAGTACATTTGCTTAAACCTGTTTCAAAAAGGGATGCTGACATTGCCACAGACAAGTGCATTAGCTGCTGATCCTCTGAATTTGCCTCAGTGAGTAGACAAAAAACAAAGAAGGTCTATATAGGAACAAAGAAAATGGCTCCACAGCAGATATAAATATTTGCATGGGTCTAGTAAAGGGAATTAAAAGTTTTCCTGTGTTGCTTACCTGAATGTCTGAGTTTTCAGCTCCTAGCATGCCAAGTGTTCCTTGCTGGCCAGTTCTCTGGGCTGTCCTATTTCAATTCAAAAACATATCAGTGTGAAGAAAAATCTGTTTCCCTGAAATTAAAAAAAAACTGTAAACATTGTAGAACAAGCTTTGTAGAGTTATTGGAATTAAAAAACAAAGCAAAACTTAAGACATGAAATGAAACAACAGGGTGTCCATGCTTCACCCAGAACCCTACGATTCACTGGCATATGGGATTTCCCTTTCTACCTATTGAAAAAAAAAAAAAATCCTCTAAGCTTTATTTCAAAGATCAAAGCAAAATTTTTGAAATTGTGATAGTTTTAGAAAAACAAACAAGCAAACAAAAAAACATAGCCCTGAAATTTATCCTGTGGAAAAATGATTTGGTTTTAGGGAGGTTTAGAGTGCAGCTTTTTAGCAAAAGAACAACTTCCAAGCATGTACTCTGTCAAGGGAGAGATGGACTTAGTGGCCAACATGCCGTAATAAGCCTCTGGAGATCCCAGTGCAGAGCCACAGCTTTCTAGTGTGATCCTGATGCCAGAAATATCAGCTGCTAGAAGAGTATGAGCAGCTCTGATTTCCTTAAAAATATAAATTTAGGTCTTGCTAAGTAAAGTACAAATTTGAAGATGTGTACTAAGGGAAGCGGGTATTGGGAAGGGAGCAGAAATGACATTAATTCTGAGCTGTGATCTGATACAGTTCTATTAATAAACTCTGAACTTCACTCCTCTAAATAATTCCTTCCAACAAATGTTTTTGGAGCTCTGTTTCACCATCCCTAATGTTTTATATATGATAAGGATAATATGAGGTTCTCTCCTGTAAATAAGGTCCAGCTGAGCACAGAGAGATGCAATTGGTCCTAGAGAAGGAAAGACCTAGGCTGACCTTACAGCACTGGAAGTTTCTCATCACTGATGGATGGAAATTGCCTCCTATGAGAAGGGGAATCCAAGTAAAGTTCATCAGTGAAATTCCTAGGATATCTCCAGGTTCCCAAGAATGTTTAGATTTGGTTCCTAAACTGTTCTTTAAGTCCTTCTCCAAAAAAATTGGATCACTAGTATTCAGGACATGAGAAAGAGGGAAAGACAAATAGGATTGGATCACTGGGGTGGTCTCTCTGGGGGACATCAAAGGATGGGGGCAGTGCAGTTCTGCTCTGCTCTCACTCCATTTCTCTCCACTACCCTGTTTTTCTGTCTTTTGCCCCTTCCTCTGCTGCAACTCCTTTGACATTTTTTATCTGTTCACACCTTGCTGATTCAATTCATCAACCTGACAAGAAGATATCTACTTCTTTTTGCTGAAAAGTTTCTTATTTTTCTGATGTTCTATTTATTGAATCTCCTTTCCATATGGACAAATAAGGAGGTCAACACAAGGTGAAATGCAGAAGAACATAGGCAGGAGGGGGAAACAGACCTCCATCTATCTGCCATAGCAAACTATTAGGCTAACCAATAATCATGCACAAAACTATGCCTGACAGCTCACTCCTAACAAAAGGAGGTGGGTGTTCAGTGGGTGTTCTCACTCTCCCTTCCTGCTCCTCCTCAACAGCTCTTCTTTCCTTCTGCCTTGCTTCAGCTGCACAGTTTCTGCTAGGGTCCCCTCTGTTGGGTCAGTGGCTCTGCTGTCAGTATATGTCCCTTGTAACTCAGCAAAGAAATATATCTCCCTTCCCTTCCCTTCCCTTCCCTTCCCTTCCCTTCCCTTCCCTTCCCTTCCTTCCCTTCCCTTCCCTTCCCTTCCCTTCCCTTCCCTTCCCTTCCCTTCCCTTCCCTTCCCTTCCCTTCCCTTCCCTTCCCTTCCCTTCCCTTCCCTTCCCTTCCCTTCCCTTCCCTTCCCTTCCCTTCCCTTCCCTTCCCTTCCCCCTCTCCTGATCTACTTTCTGTAGATAAGTGCGTTGAATTGACTAACTGAATCACTCACCAGGAGCCAGACCCATTATAAGTTCAATGATAGATGTACAGAGCTGGGACTGGCTAGGCGTTAGGGTGCAGGACAGTTAAAATCCACTTCTTGACAGTGCTGATCTGGTAGATGGTCCTGTAAAAATGCCTTCGTACACAGAAAACTGAAATGACTCAAAGTTAAATCCAGAGAAAATGTCGGTGATGTTATAGTTCAACAGAAGAAGGGGTCCCACTAAGCCAACTAACTTGCTGTATCAACAGGAAACAAACCATGGCAAATACAATGAATATTTTTTACTGGCTTAAACAATTAATTAGGCCAAGAAAGTATCCAATAATTGCCAAGCTAGTTCAAGGGAGAGGACCCGAGTGCACAGCTCAGCGTGAACAGATCAGGGGACAAAAAGGCAAAAGTTGTTGGTCATGGTTTACAACTTCACCTGGTGCTTTGTGTTTTCACCCAGTTCTTATCTGAACGCCTGCAGCCATTTCAATGCATTTCCATTAACTTCTCTGTGAGGTAGCTAAGGTTGCCTGTGTCTTACAGACTGGGAACTGAGAAACAGAGAGCTCAAACAATTCACATTAAATCTCAGAGAAAATTAGGGGTGTGCCTGGAATCTGAACTTAAGGTTTAACCAAGTTGTGCGGTGTTACAGGGAAGAACAAGTTCCTCCTGGTTCTGAAGGCTCTGATGAAGACAGCGAGCAAAGGACACAAATAATAGAAATCACATGAAAAATCCCCCCTCATCGAACTCCTCACAGAAGCCTTGCTTATTCAGTATATACTGTCTTCCCTCACGACGTTTGTATTATTAAACAAAATTTGTATTGTTAAAGATTTTAAATAAAGAAACTTCAGTGAGTACATTGAGAAAGCTGCCAAAGCACTTAGAGCAGAAAGCTGCCTTTATCATCGTAATAATAGCACGAGAGCTTTATAAAAAAAAAAAAAAAAAGGAAAAAAAATCAAGTGTACAAATTATTCAACATTCATTGCCTGACATCCTGACAGCTATGTTAGTCCTGTTAAAAATATCCAGGAGGACGGCACATTGCAGATGGTACTTCATAATGCGTTCACTTAAAAGCAGTCATTCTCTACCTCAGATAGAGCGCAGCTTGATGAAGGCCATAGGACACTTGGTTCAGCCAGTAAAAGCTGCTTGATGAGGGCGTCTTTAGTTAGTTAGTAACTTATCCATTCATTCATTTTATGCAGGGAAATTTGATGAAATTGGAAGGAAAAATCATACCCTTGCACCTCCTTTGTATCTGAGTGTGTTTGTGGGCAGAATCTAGCTCAAATACCGTCTGCTTCTCCGAGAACTGCAAGTATGAAAAATGGGTTAAAATGCCCTAGACTTTCACCTCTGGAAACAAGAGCTCAAGCCTGGCTTCCTATAGGTTATCCGCGAAATGATTGACTATTTGTCAGTGCCACAAAGCCAATAAATTACTGGTCAACCTGATAGGATTGATTGTCAGAAAACACCCAGGAGTGTAGGATCCTGCCTGGGATGAGGTGGCTAACCAGGACCCGACAAGTAACCTTCCAGGACACTCAGTCTCACAGCCCACCCTTCTCTCGTCCCCATTCTGCTTTGCAGCAGAAAAACACATTTGCCTAGAATATCACACAGACGAATATTTTAAAATAATACCAAGTAGAGAAATATAATTTTCTTAGCAAACAAGATGTCAACTCGACAGTACAAATGTCATATTTACATTCGTCTTATTAAGATTTATACCATTTAATGCTGGGCTTTAGGAATCACTCTATAAACGGAATATAATTTTCATATAAAAGGGATGGTATTTTTTTAAATCAAGCCTGTAAAAACTCACTCATCAGTGGTTTATGAAACTTGAGTACACTGATGCTTCAGTACTCAATTAATGTCAAGCAATATGGATTTCAATCTGGCTTGAAATATATTTAAACAAATGAAGTAGATACAAATGTTGGCTCTTTGGCCAGCCAGAGCTAAAAATCCATTTTCTACCCCATTTATAATAAGAAGTAATCTGAATGTAATTTATCTAAAGCACAATATGTTTCCCTAATTTTTACATGTAACCATTACTTATAGTTTAAGTAATAGTTATATCCATGGATCTTAGTGCACTTAATTGAAAATGCATGGTATTAAAATGTAAGGCTCCATCCTTCAAAAATAAAAGCATTATCCTAAGGAATAATTGAAATGGGTGAATGGGGGCTGGGAAAAGGAAAAGGAAAGGAACCTTAAAAAAAATCCTTAAATGCAAACATTTCTTCCCCTTTATGTTATATTAGGATCGTGTTTGAATGAAATTAGTCTCTCTCAGCCCCATATTTCAGTTCAGATTACAAAATTCTCTCATCTGATTGTCACATTTTGCGCTGAAGTCAAATCCTTCTGCAGCAGAGTGACATGTCAAGGGTGACAGTGACAAATTGTCACTAAGTAAGGAATAACACATGACAGGGCGTTCGGCCATAATGAGATATATGCATGCCTCGAGAGCGTTTGCAGGCATGAGGCTGAAGGGCGATTGCTCCCAGCACTCATAATGTTGCTAGGTCTCATTAAGACTTTACATGCACTGGAATAGATTTCTAGTGATTAAAAGAAAAATTATGAATGAGTAAATCATGGCAGCAAGTTTTATTTTTATTCATACTTACCCAGAAGTTTGTATAGCTCATAAAGCAGGAGAAAAAAATAGGATAAATAGTGTTTTTCCTTTTCTTTTTTTTTTTTTTTTCTGCTACTATCCAACACCACACGGATAAAAGTTGCATGCCCTTTAAATGAATAGCGTCAATGAAATCTTCGGGTTAATTGACCTGATGATGTTCCCTGACACGTACTCATTTGTAGCCATAAACTCTGCATGGGCAAGGTGTTACTCTTCAAATATATAATGATTTTATTAATGTCCCTTTTTGTTGATGTGGGTTTAGAGGTAATACAGGGGCACACCAAAGTTCACAGAAAGGTCTTTAACTTACCCTTTGTGATTTGATTTCTAGTGACTTTTTCAACTTAGTGCCTCTTAATTAATTATAAGCACAACTGCTAAAACCTGCCAAGACTATCATAACATAGGGACTTTTATGAAGAAGGTCAGGCCTGTGGTTAAAGGGATGTAAGAAGTCATATATTCAGCTCAGCCAGTGTCTCTCGCCACCAGGGAAAGAAGAGATGATGTTGTTACAGAGTTTATCGCAGTCCTCACTATAGATCTAGATGATTCAGGGCAAATATAGGAGAGTTTGTGCAAAGAAAAACCTGAAGTAGAGAAGCGGGTAGAGCTTAAGTCCTCTTATTAGAGAACTTATTAAGTCCTATTATTAGAGCTTAGGTCCTCCCATTAGCAAGACTAGGCTGACTGACCTTTCCATGCCTCAGTTTCTGTGATTATGAAAGGCTACATATATAATTATATGAAATCATATGAAATTCATAAATTATATGAATTATATATGAAAGGCTCATGTATAATTTTTGTCTAAAAGTGAAAAGTAAAGTCTCACATCATTCTTCCCTACAATATATATCCTGTCTCATTTTGCTTTAAAAAATGAAGAGGTACCAGGATACTTCCAATGTTATGGTTGCTCATCAGGTGTCCCAATCTGTAGGAAACTGAAATAATATTTACAGATTTTACTCTTGAAGAAAGCTAGTGAACGATTCACAGAGCATTAAAATCATCTTGTCCTAAGCAGAACTCTCTCATCTTTCTGAAATGGTGAAAATGCAATCATGACACAGTGAAATAGAAGAAAGGATGGGTGCTTTAGAAGAGAGAGGAAAACAAAGAGCCCCACAGTCCAGAAGCTGAGACAGTGACCCTGCTTAGATGTCTGAAGTGAGAGCAACTGCTTGTTAAAACAAACCTCAGTGGCAAATTAGTTTAATAGTCACAGTAATACTTTGCATTTCTATAGCATCTGTCATATAAGACCTTCACAGACTCTTCACAGAACAAACTCTTCCCATCTTGCTATCATATATGTGTCTTTGTAAGTACGGAAAAGTTACAGACTCAGCTAAATCTGTGACAGAGCAGAAATAGGGAAAACACATCTCCCGGATATAAGGATATTTACCAGCAGGATATGATTCTGGATATACAGAACTTATTTACCAAATCTCACTCACAATCATGCATAAAACCAGAACTGATCTCAAAAACCTGTTTCCTCTTGGATTCAAAATAGAAAGAATCAAAGAACCGGGGAGCTACTACATTGCTGGCAATGGGAGCAAATCAGGGACACTTCATGCTACAGAAAATAATTAGAGCCCATCAGATTGGCCTGACGCCTCACATCCAAACCCTTACTCATGTGAATGACCCCTGCTGAGGTATTTTTCCTCCTGCCAAGGAGAGCAGTCTGTGCCCTCACCTCTCATTCAGCGCTTCCCAGCCTCTAAGCAGCGGTGCCAACCACCGGCCTCAGCTCTGCCATCCAGACAAAAAAGTCACAGGCCTCTTGGATCCAGGAACAACCCCTGTGGCTGGAGCTGACAACCTTGGACTCGTTGCTCTCCCTGCAATAAAGGAGTTATGCAAGTACATAAATTTCAGTTACTCACTGCTTTGGAGAGGGATTTCTGGATTGAATTATCTGCAGTTATAGCCTTGGCAGTGGGGCCACCCAGGCATTTTTCAAACAAGAGCGACACCTGGGTCGTGGCATCCACAGGAACGGCCTGGTTTATGCTCACAACTCTTAACGGTCCCACAGAAATATGTTTCACAGATGGGATGGCCATTGAAACAAACTGGGAAGTGAACACAATGATGGCAGTTTTATGCATTGGCAACTTGTCTGTTTTAATTTTAGACTTTCTTGATGGCTGCGTTGGCCCTTGACAGCCATGGCCCCCGGATACTGCGGAACAGGATTTATTTTTTATATAGTACCATTTATACTTATTCTATCATAACCATCTACAAAGTAATGTATTCACTGCTGCTATTTATGGAGAAAAATTATGACTATGAGCCTAATTGTTGATTCACACCCATGGACTGCTTTAGTATATTGCCTTTGTTGTTTGCATTATGCCTGTCCTGGTGCAAACATCCAAGAGGCAGTCGATGCTGAGCACAGAGACGTTCCCCAAAGACACACAGAGAC